CCATGCGGGTAATACGGGAGAAGGTGCGTTGGATCATCCGTAAAATGGCGAATGCCTTTTGGGCCGATTTCTCATGGTGCAGTGAGAAGGACAAGTTTGAGGAGACCCGGATGCCCAAATCCTTTTTGGCATCTATCCTCATGATGTTTTATGGTCCCTTTTCACCATGCATAACAAAGGCATTCGCTGAATCCCCTCCAAACGACATACGGATGCACTTTTCATAATTCAGAGGAAGGTGCCATCCCAACGACCGCTGCTTGGCAGCGTCTACATCCATTTGGAGGGCACTGGCATTGGAACTCCAGGATTTCAAGTAGTCCGCAAAAAGTACGATAGGGTGATCAGTTGTTTGAAGTTCTGGCACAAATTCAACGGATAGGGACGGTCTAGTGGGTGCATGTATCACGCTGAATCGGGAAATATTAAGGATATGGTGAGCTAAGGGCAGGCGATCAGACTTTGTATGACGGTCACGGCACCGTCGTTGCGGAACTCTATTTGGGTTCGTGGACACCCTCGTAAACGATCAACTTGGATGAGTCAATGTGAGTTGTCGTGGTAGTTGGGGTCGGCCAGGCAACTTGGGGCACTGAGACCAGCATTGATGAAGGACATTCTATTCCCCACTGAGGGCCGGCGGTGGTTCAGCGCCGGAGCCATAAGGCAGCCGAGTTTACATTGGGAAACCAAGATAGGAAGATGACAAAATGTCTGCTAGACGACACCATGGTATCAGTAAGAAAGTGGCCCGAAATAGCAGAGAACCGAAAGTGCTCGAAATTTCTGACTGCCGCATTCGGGGTGCACTGCCCGATTTAAAAAACAGTAATCAATATTCATGTACAGATGATAGACATGCAGCAGATTCGAACTAGTGTGGACATATGCGGTAATGACGGACATGCATTAGCTAACAAAGCCTGAATATGAATCGATTCGCGCGTAATTGTTACGCTGAAACGGAAGCAAGCAAATTCTCGAGTCTCTTGTCACACTCCCTCTTCGGCTGCCAATCTTGGGCTCTGAGGGCAGACTGCCAGTATTTAAAGTGTCTTTCCCAAAATCAAGTGCACATCCGTAGGTCGTTCTATACAGGAGCGAAAACTGTCAAGGCGGTCCTAGATGCGGCGCACAAAACGAGCTACTACCTCATTAAAGACCGGCGGCCCAAAATTACCACCAACCTGAATGTAGTCATGGCCCATTTTACTAGTGAAAGCGCGCCAATGCAGTCGGCCGCAGATCAAGATTGCTACTCTATTTAACCATCTCCAATCCTCCTACTACCGAAGGCTTCCGCGAACTAATTACTACCCGGAAGACATGACGACGAATGGTGATCGCAGAAGTCCTGAGATATTTGACGGCCGGGTGAAGCTGCCCAATTGCGCCCATTTTGGTGGAAACCACTATTCCTAGTCAGTAGGCTCGTACAGACCTCAACTTCGCTGGCTCCGTGGACATTGGAATAAACTAAAATGGATAGATCATTCCGAGTAGAATCCTGACGCGGTGGTAATTAAAATGTGATGAACATGACTGATGCTCTATTCATTGCTCTATTCCTTATTCTCTTGTTTTAATATTCCATATGCTGTACATATTCGCCAATTCGAATACATACGTGCTGGTTGCCACTCTTCGTTGAATTCTGGATTTCTAGTTTGTCGGGTTGTACCGATATACGTACGAAACTTAATTACCACATTTTGGCGTCGCGATTGGAACAATTCATCATGCCTGCCGAAATGGAACCATTAGATGTTAATTCAACTGCGCGTGACGTAGAGGATTATTTGGAACGATTCGACATATGGTGCCTCACAAAATCCGATATGGATGATAAGAAACTCACTGCATATTTCCTACATTTCGTTGGCAAGGAGGCGTATACTTTGATCAAGAATTTAGTATATCCTGAATCTCCAATTGATATTTCTTACACACAAAGTTCTTCAACACTTCAAACCGATTAACTTCGTAGCAGCCGAAAGAGCTAAGTTCAATATGTTAGCCCGCTCTCATTCTCAGTCGGTTCGTGATTTCGTGTTACAGCTGCAGACACAGGCAGCCAAATGTGACTATGGTGCCCAACTGGAAGACCAGCTGCGTGATAGACTCATTGCTGGCATTCAACTGCCCGAATTACAGCAGAAGCTGTTACTCTGTCCGGATCAGAAATTTCAAACTATTCGGAAAATATGTGAGCAGTATGAAGATGTGAAGCATGTGACGAAGACTGAGGAAGCAGCCTTGTTAAATTATTCTAAAAGAAATAATTCAAGGATGCGGACGAACAACAAATTCAAACCTCGAAGCTGGTTGCCACTCTTCGTTGAATTCTGGATTTCTAGTTTGTCGGGTTGTACCGATATACGTACGAAACTTAATTACCACATAAAATAACTGATAAAGCATGGTAAGCACGGTGTGAACAGCCGCTTCAGAACGTTTAGGTTATTTTTCTGGTGCTCTTAAACTCAGCAGTAATCATGTAGCTGTTCTTTCAGCATGAACATACGCTGAACCAAAATAATAACACAATTATAGACGTAATACACTAGTCATAAAGCTGCTGAAAATTATTCGACAGCCCACGACCTGTTTCACCCTTCCTGGGGCTCATCACACAGGCGCAGTTTCCGAGTTTCGGTCAAACAAATGATCAACTTGACCCTAAATTACACGAAATTAGCGAAGTACAGTCATTTGCAAACAAATCTGGTTGTGCGGTAGACTCACCCGGGACCCGCTAAATGTTTTGTCAATGATGTTTTCAAGCAACTGATTGTGCTGCACCAGGCCCGCCTCAATTTTCAGTTGATGCGATATTCGAGAGGTCGCGATACATGTATAGAGTTAATACACTACCCATAAAGTTTCCAAAAATTCTTCGACAACCCCCGACCGTTTTCACCAGTCTTACGGCTCATCAGGTCGGCGTAGCCCCCGAATTTCAGCTGCTTGGGCATCATAAAACAAAATGCACGCAAATGAGTGTATTTCGCTTAGTTCGTTCTGCCTGGGGTCAAGTAGTACCTAGGCTTGACGGAATCTCGGGGACTGCACCTAGCTGATCAACACCAGATAAACGAAGCTGGTCGTGGACCGTCAAAGGATTTTCAGGAACCTTATGAGTAATGTCTTCTGCCCACAAATATATCGTGGTATCTCGAATACCTGATGAGCCTGAAGAGGAAGGGCGGAACCGGTCGGGAGCCGTCGAAGAGCTTTCAGCAACCTTGTGAGTAGTTCTCTTTATGAAAATATGCTGCGATATCTCGAATATCGTGCCAAATGAAACATGAGGCGGCTTGGTGCAGCACATTCAGTTTGTGAAGAACGTCATAAACGAGGGTCTTATCGGGGTTCCAGGTGAGTATTCCACGAAACCAAATTTATTTGCAAACGAGTGTATTTCGTTGATAACGCAGTTTTGTTATTCATCATCCTTTATTGGCTATAGTGTACGCATAAGACTCACCACATGGGCTAATGGCACACGGTGGGTGAGCGGTTGGGTAAAAATGCAGCCAGGTTTACAAGGGTGGTACCCAACTGGTATTCGACGCCGCGTTCTAGAAGCACACCCTAAACTTCTCCGAAACCGTTGTTTGAAAAATGGAAAATTCACCATAAAGTTTTAGCATTTGGTGGTAATTATTCGGGTGCCCAAGATCTCTCCGTGCAGCCGCAGTTTTATTGAAAAATGTTTAAACGAACTTGGAGTCCACCATGGGCGCGGAATTCTTATTTTATTGGCTGCCGGTGGCTTCGTCCATCGAATCTATGAAATCAAGGGAAGATTTTGTGGAAAAACTGGTTTCTTGGCGTGTTTTTCTCACGTATTTGATTTAGAAATAACCTCAAAACGACTTAGACGGTAATCACGCCTATTACGTTCGCGCAAACTCAAATTGGAACGGCGATTAGCGCCCTGGATATTAAAAATTCTTCTATGGTTGCGGCAAGCGCCCCGCCAAAGACAAGGAAGTCGTCACAGCTAGTAAGTTTTTTGCTTCCTATGATGGTTGGCATACGTTATATCTAGCTTAAGGCAAGGTTTGGTCTTCGCGGATATACCGAGCCATCAACAGTGCCGTTTGATAAACCATTGGGTTTGTGAGCAGAAGAAGCAGACGGTGCAATAAGATGGCAACTGCTCTCAAGTCTTTGCACAAATTAAACGGACTGAAACGGTTTCCTAGGTAACACGCTCGTCTGGGAAATATGGGAGATATAGTGAACTACGGGCAAGCCATTAGACTGGGTGTGGTGGTCGTGGCACCGTCATCGCGACTCCCTACTTCGGGTCGGGACAGCCCCATACATGAACATCTTGGATGAGCCGTTAAAGATTGCCATTGTAAATAGGATATTCTTGGTTCTATCAAGGGTTCATAGTGGTACACTGTTGTCATTCTCACGAGGTAATAGGACAGCCACGTCCACAGTGGAGACTAAAGATAGAAAAGTGTCGGAAGGGCTTGCTAGAAAGTGTTTTGATTTGAGTTGGAATGCCGCCGAAATAACTGGCAGTCAAACGTTTTTACGATTCCTGACTGCTTTAGTGAGGCGACACCGCCAGATTTCAAAAGCGGTAATCGATATTTACTTCTAGATAATAGGTATCCAATCGATGCAACCTGGTGGGGATATATGTGAGTATTAGGGACGTGCATTGGCTAGGTTGGATCCGGCTTTCAAATATCTGGCGAAAATCTTGTCGATTCTTCGAAGTGGAGGAAAAGGTACAAATGTTTTTGGATGAACCGACCAAAGTCGTTCTGTCCATTAGTGTGCATTTTGTACCTTATCACAACGATGTCCATTCTAACAGGTGGCTGGGGATGGTCAGGCATGATCATGAGGTTATTAGAATAAAGCGTGAGTTTGTTTGTAGTTGCAGGAAATGAAACAAGTGGTCGATGGAGTAAGAGGAGGGTCAAGTGAAGGGAGGACATGGTTGCGGGTGAGCTAGCAAGCTATATATAGCGGTGCCATGACATCTCTGCACTGAAATACTTCGGTTTCTGGACAGCCCCGTAACGGAATTCATTTTTGAGATGATTTGGCTTGGATGTGCAGTTCCATGAGGAGGGGGTTATTTTTGGTCGGCCGAGGATGTACGCACGGCTC